CCCGCCTGCGCGGATTCAGCCACTGCTGAAACTGACCGGCAACGGCTGAATCAGGGACACCTGGGGCAGAGCCGGACTATCAGAAGGGGGGGCTATGAGGGGTCTGGAGTGGCATCCCCTCCCCCCACACCACCGTAGACCCCTCATAGCCCCCCCTTCTGATAGTCCGGCATATCTGATAATCCGGCACCCCTTGGGTCCTAAAGGTGCCGGATCATCAGAAGTTTACTGTACTCAGGATGTTGCAAAAACTATGTGCATAGCTAACAATTTTATGGCTGTATCTGAAATTTTTGCTTATCAGAAGTAGAAGTACTAGTACAAGGTTCCTCCTGATGTCCTTGGCATAATCTCACAGTACCATGTTGTATCTGTATGATTGTGCAAAACATTCCTGCCTCCCAAAGCTTCTCCCCTGAGCCTTGTCTGCATACTTACATGCACCAGACTTGAGACAGGCCTGGATTTTGCTTGTTAGAGATCTGCAATGTGGTCAAGGCAGACACTATTATTTCAGTCAAGGCAGGGCCGTCCAGGCTCCCCTACCAATGTGGGCAAGGAAAGATTACAGTGAATTTCACTAGAAATTGATGATCCAGGATTTGATTTAGTCTGAGAACAAGTAATAGCATCTTGTGCAGCCCTAAGCTTAGTTTGTTGGTTAGACACTGAAACCTACTACTACTCCTCAAATAGTGTTGCAGCTTGGAGTAGGTGTGTTAAGGGGCACCAGCAGGCTTGCCAGTTCCTTCACTCTGACTTATGAGTACCAGCCACTGCTAAAAATCAGTGAGCTCCTGTGTGTTTTTGTTCGATGGACACTTCATGGAACAGAATAAGAAGAAAGTGAATGAATGTCCAAAGTGCCCAGAAGGGTTAATTTTCAGCTTAAGACATGACTTGAAGTCTTAGTCCCTTTTGGGAAGTGGGAACTTTTTGAAAAGTTTACTCCTGGGACCAGATAACAGTTCAGGAACCAAGAGGGTCCTAAATTCTAATTTAAGTAATGAATTTGGGAGTTCATCAACTGCATGAAACTGATATGCTAGTATTGGGACTTTCTGGTCAGGTCTGTCCTTGTAACCTGTTTGGAAGCTCATTGCATTTATTACAACAGTTTCTTCTTCTAAGAAGCCCTTTGGAGCCAGCAGTATTAATTCATAGTTCTCTTGTTAAAACTTCCTTATTAATGTTGGGACTCTGCTCTAGCTCTGTCAACAGAATGAATATTGCAGGTTGGAGAAGGCATGAATTTCTACCCCCAGCTCTGTCTGTCTCCCTCTTGCCTTAACTTCTGCTTCCATTTAATCATGTATTAAAATGGGGATACTTGATTAGCAATCTAATAGCATAGAGACAGTTATTTGTAAAGCACCATGAAGATGTAATTACTAAGTGGTGTGGGCTTGCTTATGATCAACTTCACAAATCATCAGAAAGCTTTATTAAAATGGTATTTTTGACAACCAAAATGCTATGAAACTTACAATTATTGGTTGTTTTTTTGCATAGATCCCACTCATGTCATGGGTCTGTATCCTGACCTGCTACCCACTGATTATAGGAAACAGTTGCAGTATCCCAACCCTCTGCCAGTACTCTCTGGGGCTGAATTGGAGAAAGCACACTTAGCACTCATAGATTACTTAACTCAGGTAAGTGCTGCTAATATTTATCTCTAGGGCAGCGGTTCTCAAACTTTTTGGGCTCCGGAGCCCTTTACATGCGTAAAATTTTATGCGGAGCCCTAGCAGTCCAGTGATTGTATGTGTTGTACCTATTGATGTTTCCAGTTTGTTAACCTCGCGGAGCCCCTGGAGATGGGCTCGGTGGAGCACAGTTTGAGAAACAGTGCTCTAGAGAATTTGGCTTCTGATGCCCAAATATGACCTGGTGGATTGGGAGGGGAGGCACTGTATAGCAGGCAGATGGGTCAGAAGAATAGAATACTGGATTTGGAGCTAATAGCCCACTGTGGCTATTAGCTATGCTTTACCTCTTCCTGGCTCCCATAGACTACTGTACTGTTCTCTCATCACCCTTGTTGTCTTCTGCATAATAGAATGGATAGCTCACATGGCTACTTTTATTTTTTCTGAAAGACAATTAAACTTCTATGTTGATTTTTAAGAAATTGGAAACTGTTTAATGACTCTGATTTCTTTAAAAAGTCTCCATTCTTGCCTACCTATTTGGAGGGGTTCCTTTACATTTTTCATAACCTTTAAACATCCAAATATGGAAGAGTCTTCTGCTTCTCTGAGGTCTGTAACAACTTCCCTATCTCGGGAGCATTTGCCGCCTCTGGCAGCTGAGCCCTGACTGAGCTCCTAGGCTTGCCTTTTGTACTTCCTGTCCTGTTCACTGACTTGCAGTGGGATGGTGGGAAGATTAGGAAAAAATGGGTTTTAGTGTAGAAAAGAAAAGACCAAGGTGGGGGAAATAAGTTTTCTTGTACATAAAAGGTTGTTACAAAGAGGAGGGAGGAAAAAATGTTAACCTCTTAAGATAGGAAAAGAAGTAATGGGCTTAAATTGCAGGGAAGAGTGGTTTAGGCTTGACATAAGAAAAACATAACTGTCAAGGTAGTATCTGTCAGGAATGGTCTAGATTGGGGTGAGCAGTGAAACAAACAGTTTGCTAGAGTTCGCCTTGAGTGGCTAGAGCCGCTGTATTTACCTGCACAGCTGCAGGTATAAGTGCTTGCTGCTTCTGTTGGCTGCAGGTTGCCGTTTCCAGCCAGTGGAAGCTGCAGGATGGTTCATGGTGTGGTTTTCTGCCCTCGGAATTCATCTGACCATGTCCTGAATAAGAGCTAATTTGGAGTACTTGGTGTACCCTCAATCGTCAGGTATTGCACTTTGCAGCCAGAGGTGCTCTCAACAAGCAATATCAGCATTTCATCCTTCCATCCAGGGAAGATCATTCTTCTCCAGTGCCATAGTAGCAAGATTCTTATAAAGGCTTAATCTCTGTCCTGCAATCTAAGAGCCTGTTCCGCTTAACATAGTCAAAGTGGCTTTAACGGGACCTCCATTTGAACCTCTGGCATCTTTCCCCTTTCTGTTTTTGTCAGAAAGCTGGTTTCTGGTAGCAAGAAGTGTCTGAGTTTCAGGCTTTGGTGGCAGAACCGTCTTACACATGGTTCTTGATGGAGAAAATGACTTTATGCCCACACACAAAAACTTCAGTGGTTTAGTTTCATTTGAACTGGGCAGTATATGTACCTCTCTTCTTTCCTAAGTGCAGTCATCTCCAGAGCAGCAGTGTCTTGACACATTAGATGTCTGGTGAAGTCTGGCCTTTTGTCTGAACAGGGCTAAGCCATTTTGTGCTTCCCTTTACCAATTTGTCATATGGAGTTTATGTGGAGGGGCAAGTGATTTTTTTTATTCTGTACCAAGGCTTCATATTAAGTAGCTTCAGCTGCACCTCTCAGCAGATGTGAGCTCTTTCTGTGAGAGCACACGAATGATAGCACTCCTAAGCGACATCCCCATAGTGGACATGTGCAGGATTGTTGCATGGTTTTCCATACGTTAGGAGCATTATGCCATTACTACATGTTCCAGAGTGGATGCACGTTTTGGTAGGGAGATTCTTTAGGTAGACTCCAACCTCACCTCTTGGGGTGGATACTGCCTGAGAGGCACCAAAGTGGAATAAATTGCTGTCTTTTTTTAAGAAGAAACACAGTCACTGTGGTTCTTCAAGATGTGATGAAAACGTGCATTCCATGACCCACCTGCCAGCCCCTCTGCATGAGACTTAAGTCTGTGGGTATTTGGTACACAGGAACGGAGATGAAATAGGGCACTGCTGCCTCTTACAGCGTGGGGATGGTGTGTGTGTGGTTGATACCTATTGCTATGAAATATGAGTTCTGCCCTTCTAAGGGTACTATTAGGTAACATTTTCAGGTGTGCGTGCACACCCTTTGCACCAGAACTGAAATGGAATACATGTATGTATCGCATCTTGACGAACCACAGTTGCAGTAAGTAGCTGTTCCTTATAATTTTACACATGGTCAGTAGTACGTTTTAATGTAACTGAAAATTGTGCATTAAAATTGGAAGAGTCACACAATTAGCATTCTTAGTACATAATGTATAATTTAAAGCTCAGGGAAGGAGAACTTTGATCTGGAGCAGAGGGAAACCATCCCATAGTTGTGACCCTCCTTCCAGATGATGATGATGATATGGTATCCTCTCACACTGAAGATACCTCTCTAGGGGAGGGAACTCCAGTCATTAGGAAAAGATAGGTGTTAGTAATGGGGGAATTCAGTCATTAGAAATATAGACAGCTGGGTTTTTTGATGACCGGGAGAACTGTATGGTGACGTGCCTGCCTAGTGTGAAAGTTGTGGATCTCTTGAGATATAAGACAGTGGTCGTGGTACATGTAGGTACCAATGACATAGGGAAAGGCAGGAGAGAGGTTCTGCAAGCCAAATTTAGGCGGCTGGGAAAGAGCTTGAAATTCATGACTTCTGTGGTAGCATTCTATGAAACGCTTCCAGTTCCACGTGCAGGGCCAGGTAGGCAGGCAGAACTAGAGAGTCTCAATGTGTGGATGAGATGGTGGTGTAGAGAGGAGTTTAGATTTATTAGGAATTGGGGAAAGTTTTGGAAAAGGGGGGGGCCTATACAGGAAGGATGGGCTCCACCTAAACCAAAATGGAACCAGATTGCTGGCACCTAATATTAAAAAGGGTCATAGGTCAGTTATTAAACTAAGGACTTGGGGAAAGCCGATGGGTGCAGATGAGCACATGGATTGGACAGGGGCATCACTTAAGGAAGCATCTATTAATAGAGATTCTCTTTGTTCTAGTAAAAGAGGAGAGGATGGGGGATGATAAAGTTAAGAGTAAGATCAGATGAGAAACAATCAAATGAAAGAGACTAACACGTCAGGAAATGGCAGACAGATAAATAGTGATAATTTTAATGTGCTTATACACACATGCTAGAAATCTAAATAAGATTGGTGAACTGGAGTGCCTCGTATTAAAGAAGGATATTGATATAATAGGCATCACAGAAACTTGGTGGAATGAGGACAATCAATGGGACACAGTCATACAAGGGTACAAAATATATCGGAAGGACAGAACAAGTCATGCTGGTGGGGGAATGGCACTGTATGTGAAAGAAAATGTAGAATCAAATGAAGTAAAAATCATATATGAACCGAAATGTTCCATAGAATCTCTATGGGTAGTAATTCCATGCTCTAATAATAATAATATAGTAGTAGGGATATATTATCGACCACTTGACCAGGATAGTGATAATGAAATACAAAGGGTGTTTAGGGAGGCTATCAAAATAAAAAACTCAATAATAATAATAATGGGGGATTTCAACTATCCCCATATTGACTGGGTACACATCACCTCCAGACAGGATGCAGAGATAAAATTTCTTGATACCTTAAATCATAGAATCATAGGACTGGAAGGGACCTCGAGAGGTCATCCAGCCCCCCGCCCTCAAGGCAGGACCAAGCTCCGTCTACACCATCCCTGACAGATGTCTATCTAACCTGTTCTTAAATATCTCCAGAGAGGGAGATTCCACCACCTCCCTTGGCAATTTATTCCAATATTTGACCACCCTGACAGTTAGGAATTTTTTCCTAATGTCCAATCTAAACCTCCCCTGCTGCACTTTAAGCCCATTACTCCTTGTCCTGTCCTCAGAAACCAAGAGAAACAAATTTTCTCCTTCCTCCTTGTGACACCCTTTTAGATATTTGAAAACCACTATCATGTCCCCCCTTAATCTTCGTTTTTCCAAACTAAACAAGCCCAGTTCATGAAGCCTGGCTTCATAGGCTTCTCTAGACCTTTAATCATTCTTGTCACTCTTCTCTGTACCCTTTCCAATTTCTCCACATCTTTCTTGAAATGTGGCGCCCAGAACTGGACACAGTACTCCAGCTGAGGCCTAACTAGTGCAGAATAGAGCGGCAGAATGACTTCACGAGTTTTGCTTACAACACACCTGTTGATACAACCTAAAATCATATTTGCTTTTTTTGCAACAGCATCACACTGTTGACTCATATTCAACTTGTGGTCCACTATGACCCCTAGATCCCTTTCCGCCATGCTCCTTCCTAGACAGTCGCTTCCCATCTTGTATGTATGGAACTGATTGTTCCTTCCTAAGTGGAGCACTCTGCATTTCTCCTTATTAAACCTCATCCTGTTTACCTCCGACCATTTCTCTAACTTGCTAAGGTCATTTTGAATTATGTCCCTATCCTCCAAAGAAGTTGCAACCCCACCCAGTTTGGTATCATCTGCAAACTTAATAAGAGTACTCTCTATCCCAATATCTACATCATTGATGAAGATATTGAACAGTACGGGTCCCAAAACAGACCCTTGAGGAACTCCACTTGTTATCCCTTTCCAGCAGGATTTAGAACCGTTAACAACAACTCTCTGACTACGGTTATCCAGCCAATTATGCACCCACCTTATCGTGGCCCTATCTAAGTTATATTTGCCTAGTTTATCAATAAGAATATCATGCGAGACCGTATCAAATGCCTTACTAAAGTCTAGGTATATGACATCCACCGCTTCTCCCTTATCCACAAGGCTCGTTATCTTATCAAAGAAAGCTATCAGATTAGTTTGGCATGACTTGTTCTTCACAAACCCATGCTGGCTATTCCCTATCACTTTATTACCTTCCAAGTGTTTGCATATGATTTCCTTAATTACCTGCTCCATTATCTTCCCTGGGACAGACGTTAAACTGACCGGTCTATAATTTCCTGGGTTGTTCTTATTCCCCTTTTTATAGATGGGCACAATATTTGCCCTTTTCCAGTCTTCTGGAATCTCCCCTGTCTGCCATGATTTTTCAAAGATCATAGCTAAAGGCTCAGATACCTCCTCTATCAGCTCCTTGAGTATCCTGGGATGCATTTCATCAGGACCTGGTGACTTGCTGACATCTAACTTTCCTAAGTGATTTTTAACTTGTCCTTTGTGTATCCTATCTTCTAAACTTACCCTCTCTGTGCTTGTATTCACTACGTTAGGCACACCTCCAGACTTCTCGGTGAAGACCGATACAAAGAAGTCATTGAGCATCTCCGCCATTTCCAAGTTTCCTGTTACTGCTTCTCCCTCCTCACTGACTACTTCTGGTTCTGGAACCCACAAGAGTAGAGGCAATTCTTGGTCTAGTCCTAAGTGGAGCACAGGCCTGGTCCAAGGGATAATTATAACTGGACCACTTAGAAATATTACATTATGGTTACTAAAATTTAACATCCCTGTGGTGGGAAAAACACCTCAGCAGCCCAGCACTGTGGCATTTAATTTCAGAAAAGGGAACTACACAAAAATGAGGTTAAACAGAAATTAAAAGGTTCAATGACCAAAGTAAAATCCCTGTAAGCTGCATAGAAACTTAAACATAAACTCTGTCAAATTAAGTGTAAAAATATTATAAAAGCCAAAAAGGAGCTTGAACAGCTAGCCAGAAACTCAGAAAACAATAGCAAACTGTTCAAGTACATCAGAATCAGGAAGTTTGCTAAAGAACCAGTGGGGTCCCTGAACAAAGATGCCAAAGGAGCACTCAAAGACAATAAGGTCATTGTAGAAATAAGGTCATTGTAGAAAAACTAAATGAATTCTTTGCTTTGGACTTCACGGCTGAGGCTATTAGGGAAATTCCCAAACCTGAACCATCCTTTTTAGGTGACACATCTGAGGAATTATCCCAGACTGAGGTGTCATCAGAGGTGGTTTTGGAACAAATTGATAAACTTAATAGTAATGAGTCACTGGGACCAGATGGCATTCACCCAAGAGTTCTGAAGGAACTCAAATGTGAAATTGCAGAACTATTAACTATGGTTTGTAACCTATCCTTTAAATCAGCTTCCGTACCTTATGACTGGAAGATAGCTAACGTGATGCCAATATTTAAAAAGGGCCCTAGAGATGATCCTGGCAATTACAGACTGGTAAGTCTAATGTCAATACCGGAGAATTTAGTTGAAACTATAGTAAAGAATAAAATTGTCATACACATAATTTGTTGGGGAAAAGTCCATATGGATTCTGTAAAGGGAAATCATGCCTTACTAATCTGCTAGAGTTCTTTGAGGGGGTCAAGAAACATGTGGACAAGGGGGATCCAGTAGATATAGTATACTTAGATTTCCAGAAAGCCTTTGACAAGGTCCCTCACCAAAGGCTCTTAAGTAAAGTAAGTTGTCATGGCATAAGAGGGAAGGTCCTTTCGTGGATTGGTAACTGGTTGAAAGACAGGAAACACAGGGTAGGAATAAATGGTCAGTTTTCAGAGTGGAGAGAAGTAACTAGTGGTGTCCCCCAAAGATCTATACTGGGACCAATTTTGTTCAGCCTATTTATAAATGATCTGGCGAAAGGGGTAAACAGAGAGGTGTCAACATTTGCAAATAATACCAAACTGCTCAAAATAGTTAAAACCAAAGCAGACTGTGAAGAGTTTCAAAAAGATCTCACCAAACTAAGTGATTGGGCAACAAAATGGCAAATGAAATTTCATGTTGATAAATGTAAAGTAATGCACATTGGAAAAAAATCCCAACTATACATACAATATGATGGGGACTAATTTAGCTATAACCACTCAAGAGAGAGATCTTGGAGTCATTGTGGATAGTTCTCTGAAAACATATACTCTGTGTGCAGCAACAGTCAAAAAAGCAAATAGAAATTTAGGAATCTTTTAAAAAGGGATAGAGAATAAAACAGAACATCTTATTGCCTCTAAAACCATGGTACGCCCACATCTTGAATACTGCATACAGATGTATTTGCCGCCTCCTCGAAAAAAGATATATTGGCGTTGGGAAAGGTTCAGAAATGGGCAACAAAAATGATTAGGGGTTTGAAATGGGTCCCATATGAAGAGAGATTAAAAAGACTTTTTTCATTTTAGAAAAGAGACTGGGGGGAAGATGATAGAGGTGTTTATAAAATCATGACTGGTGTGGAAAAAGTGAATAAGGAAAAGTTATTTATTTGTTCCCATTACATAAGAACTAGGCATCACCAAATTAATAGGGAGCAGGTTTAAAATAAACAAAAGAGTTTTTCTTCACACAGTGAATGGTTGGCCTGTGGAACTCCTTGCCAGAGGAAGTTGTAAAGTCCAGGACTTTAACAGGGTTCAAGAAAGAACTAGATAAATTCACGAAGGTTAGGTCCATCAATGGCTATTACCCAAGATGAGTCGGAATGGTGTCCTTAGCCTCTATCAGATGCTGGGAATGGGTAATGGTTTGCTATTAGATTCCCTGTTCTATTCACTCCCTCTGGGGCATCTGGGATTGGCTGCTTTTGGAAGACAGGATACTGAACTAGGTGGACCTTTGGTCTGACCTACTGTGGCTGATCTTATGTCCAAGCAATTTTGCTAAAAATAACAGAGCAGAATTTCAGCTGGTTCTGCACCAGCTGAATATTTAGCTGGTTTGGATAAGGTATTTACAACGTTGACAAGATTAGATGCAGTTTACTTTCCTGGACTTAAATGTTTGAAAGTAGCAACTAAACACTTTTTTCTATTTATAGAATTATTCTTGCTAGTTTGTGACAGGCTGGCCTATTAATGAAAAACACCACCAAAAGGTGTTGACATTTGTTAAAGAAAAACTGACATGTTCAAATCCTGTCTTCCAATTAAAAACTTGGTAAATACAGATAAACAATAGGTTTGTCAGGTTAATTGGTGATTGTAAAATTAATATTTACTGGGGACTACTCCTGTCATGGTGTGATACCGTGGCAAATGAAATTAGATGAGGCTCTTGAGCTAATAAATCCCTGGCATAAATTGAGAAGGACTGAGGTGAGCTGTTGGTAGGAAGTGATCACCATTTCTGTAAAATGTTGTCTTTTTGGCATCCAGAGAATAAATCTCTTGAGCAATAGATTACACTGTGGATGGCAGTTATTTGCCCCAGCTTTTCCTGGACAAGAGGTTTGGCAGAGCAAATAGAAATGGGCAGTGGAAGAACACTGTGGGGACATTTAGGACTGGACACTAGTCCCAATTTTATGGATTTTAGTAATTTTTTAAATGCATCCAGAGTTATGGATGGGCACATCTTAAATCTAAATTGAGATACTTGTAGAGGGATAGTTAATGGGGAGGGAGGGGTGTCTAATATATAATTAAGAGGATTTATATTGGCCTATGCTTTCCTTGGGAATCGTATTGGTGGGGCAGTGGGGTAAAATCCCTAACTTTAAATCTCATGCTGTGTTCTGCAGAAAAGAAGTCATCTGGTAAAGAAGTTAAATGACTCAGATCACCAGTCCAGCACCTCACCCCTCATGGAAGGAACACCCACCATCAAATCCAAAAAGAAGCTCCTCCAAATCATTGACACCACCTTGCTCAAGTGTTACCTCCATGTGAGTTCCCTATCTAACCCAGTGAGCCTATTAAATCTAGAGAGAATAAACTACATCTGGAATTTGAGGTGGGGAAAATTGGAAGACAGGAGATGGAATATTTTCATCTGAGACTTTGTCAACATCTGTCCTTCATGGACTGAACCACCAGCAGACCGCATCACAGAACTTGGCAAGTTTATCCATTTGCAAAGCTTCCTTTCCTTAAAAAGTAGAACATTCTGTTTTGATGTGCAGAGAAATACCTATTTGTAAGCATGTTTGTCTGTCATTGGTGTGCTTAACTAGATGGAGAGAATTGTCCTTATTCCTGAAGTTGATGATGTTTAACAGCCATTCTCTAACCATGGTAAAGGAAGAAGTGCCAGTGTATGAGCCCCTGACTACCTGCTTGTTCACTGAACACCAAAGTTAAACTGCATGTAAAATAGACAGGATAGAGGACTCTTTCTTACAAATGTTAAAATCTCACTTCTCATGCCATGAATGATACATATTTTTTGGATCACCTTTCTTTCCTCTTTTCTTGATTATACTGTTGGACACTATGAGCCTAAATGCACAGTTCATGAATCTGAAACTTCTGAATGCTCTTCCTTTGCTTGCAGACAAATGTAGCTCTGGTAGCACCTTTGCTACGTCTGGAGAACAATCACTGCCACATTGAAGAGAGTGAGCATGTACTGAAGAAGGCACACAAGTATAGTGAGCTGATAATACTGTATGAGAAGAAAGGACTGCATGAAAAAGGTGAGTGAGGAGGGAAGAGAGGTGACTGGAGTGCACTCTTCTGCTGTACATCTTAGCCCATCTGTTGCTGACAATCTGTTCATACATTCTTAAACTATTTCAGAATGGCCTACCCGATTGTAGCAGTCTCATGATTAAATCATTCTTTGACTTAAATATTTATCCTTGTTTGCTTAGGATTGATCCTTACCAAGAGCTTCTTGTGTAGCAAAAAGTTGACATGTAAAAATGTTTCTGTTCTGCCTCAGTGGTTAGGCAAATGGAGAGCATGCTTTGTTGTCCAGCTTTCTCGGAAACATGAGTTCTCAGTGAATTCAGGAAGCTGTTTTCTAAATGTAAGGATAATGCCCATGGAATTGACCTTTCTTTTACTAAAAGCTCTGCAGGTGTTAGTGGATCAATCAAAGAAGGCCAATTCACCTTTGAAGGGCCATGAAAGGACAGTGCAGTATCTACAACATTTGGGTGAGTGCAAAGCAGGGGTAAGTGGGAACTTCTTTTAAAGTGATCTCTCTAGCGCTCAATACTTAAACTTTGTATGCCACTTTCCTCTTTTTTTTGTGTGTGTGAACTTTCTTTAATTGCAGAGATGTCAAATATCTGTAATTTTCTGTTATCTTTCCATTTTATACATGAAATTACAAAATTATTAACTCTGGTTTAAATCTCTGAATTTTGCAAGCACACATTTTTGTGTGTATAACATGTATGCATCAGACACTTGTCACCAAACACAGCAAATAGTGCCATGGCTATAGAGACACACATTATAGGTAGGTGTTCTAGGAGCTAGTCATCCTATTCTATATGGTGAAACTGAGTGTGCACAAGGTCAACTAGCAAGGGGAGACATGTTCTCTTTTTTCCTATTATAGTAAAACTAGGTGGTGTAAGTAAAGTGAAAATTTTGGAAAGTAATTAAGCTGGCTGTCTCTAAGTTGTGATTGTTTAATTCTAATGGTACCCTAGTATCTGCCTGACTTGATTTTCAAGCAGGAGCTAGGTTTGCTGAATAGCAATCTGGGCCCTTAGCACAAAATTTGCTCCAATTTTAGTTCCTTTTAGGGAAATAAGTTCTAGCACCTATGGTTATGAAAATACTTCTCTATGCAAGTCATTGCCTTTGCAGGAATTGGTATTTCAGATAGTGGCAAGTGTTACTTTGGTTGTTGTTTCAGGCACAGAAAACTTGCACTTGGTGTTCCTCTATTCTACCTGGGTGCTCAGAGACTTTCCCGATGACGGATTGAAGGTAAAAATTGCTACATTAGCTGGCTCTTAAATGTGACTTTCGATGCCATTAGTGTAGCAGCAATTACTTGTCCTTGTCTTCAGGAGCTTGGGTAGAAGTTGAAGTCCAGTTGTTACCATTGAACTCCAGTGCAATGTCTAGTTTTTCCACTTACATTCAGTGCACAAGTTGGGCCTGCTTATGTTTCCTTTTATAGCTTTTTATTTGAAATGAGCGTATGGGAATAATTTCAGTACAACTAAAATTTCTCATCCGTGCAGTTTGCTCTGCACAATCTTTCGATGTAAACTGCAATAAGGGTCCAATGTAATGTTACTATTGATGTATTTTGTAGCTACGCATTTTCATATGGTATATTTAAATACCAAATATAACTTGTTTTTCATTCGTTCGTTGTTGCAGCTCTGGTAGTAGAACATAAGTTTAGATATGAGGCAGTGTTAAGTATGTGAATCTGCTGCTTTCATTCTGCAGAGAGCTCCCACATGATTTGAGGGCTTGTGTATTGCAATTCCTCTGACTCAGAAAAATGAGACTGCGTTACACATGTAAAAATCAGTTCCCAAATAGAAATTTTGTTTGGCAGATATTTACAGAAGACCTTCCTGAAGTAGAATCCCTGCCTCGAGACAAAGTACTCAACTTCTTGATAGAAAATTTTAAAAGCTTGGCTATCCCTTACCTGGTAAGAACTTAAATTAGCAGCTGTGGTTTCAATATAACACATGTATTTATCAGGCCTGTCAAGAGTGTTAGACTCCAAAGGTTTTGTAAAGAATACTGACTTCAGCATGAGGTAGAATAAACAAACTATACAGCTGATAGGAGGTGTAAGTGAATAGGATTCAGGAGCCTTTTTTGGCATTCTTAAGTGGTGGTTGTGGAGGAATGTGTGGAACTGCTGACAGAATGTACTGACGTACTAGGAAGCATTTTTGGTGACCCTTAAATTGTATATTTGGGTTCACAGGAACACATCATCCATGTTTGGGAGGAGACGGGCTCAGAATTCCACAACTGTCTGATCCAGCTGTACTGTGAGAAAGTACAGGGATTAATGAAGGAATATCTCATCTCCTTCCCTGCAGGTACGTGAACCATGCTCTACCTTGCCTTGTAACAGGCAATAATATAGGAAGGAGAGGTTGCAGAGCACACCGGCAAAATGATGTCATAGTAATCTTTTGGAAATGTAGGGGTGAAATGGATGCGAACTGGTCATCTGTTCCATCCCCCATGCTGAGGCCAGATTGAGTAACCTAAACCATCTCTGACTAGTGTTCTTAAACTAGACTGTTGTTTAAATTTCCAAAGATGTGGATTCTGCAGCCTCTTTTTTGGAACCCTGTTTCAGTGCTTAACTATTCCTATAGCTAAAAGTTTTTCCTAATATCTAGCCTAAATCTCCCTTGTTGCAGATTAAAACCATTACTACTTGTCCTGCCTTTGGTGGACATAGAGAACAAATTATACTTATCTTTATTATAGACCTTAGCATACTTGAAGATTAGCAGTTTCTCCCTTACTTGTCTTTTCTCATGACTATACATGTCCAGTTTTTTAACCTTTCATCAAATTAGATTTTCTAAACCTTTTATCGTTTTTGTTGCTCTCCCCTGGACACACTCTCATTTATCCATATCATCCTTGAAGTGTGGGACCAATTCTACAATTTATCCAGGATCTTCTGAATTCCAGTCCTGTCCTCCAAAATGCTTGCAACCCCTCTCATCTTTGTATCCACAGACTTTATACGCTAGTGCACTTTATCGGGGAAAGAGCACAGTATGCTTCTTGTGTGAAATGAAGGAAGTGCAATATTAGTGAAGTTGTATGGAGCTTATAATTTCATGTTAAAGGAAATTCTAGGGTAGGTGCAACAAGAAACTCATGCCCCAAAACTCAGAAAAGTAGATATTCAGTTTTATTACTGGCTTTATCTGCTTCATTATCAAATGATCCAGAAAAGGAGGCCAGAGTCTTGTAACTCCTTAAGAATTATTCATGCACACATGCTCTCCGGTGCATGAGGTTTTGTAAACAACATTTGACTTCTTGCAAAATAATTTGGTGAAAATGTCTTGTTCCCTTATGTTACTGTGGGAAGACCCATATGCTACTGATGGTTTTTTCTCTTCCCTCCTACTACAGATAAAATTCCAGTGCCTGCTGGAGAGGAGGAAGGGGAGCTAGGGGAGTATCGGGGAAAGCTGCTCTGCTTTCTTGAGATTTCTAGCTGCTATGAACCAAGTCGGCTCATCAGCGATTTCCCTTTTGATGGTGAGTGCTAGTCATGCTGTAGCTTCTTTCTGCTTGAGACCAATTTAGTTTCATATTGCACAGCAATGTCTTTCTGTGCTCTCCTTCCTTTATTATAGTAAGCATCCTAAGCATGTTCAATTAAAAAAAGATGGTGGTAGGGCACTGGCAGAAATAGTTCAGTAGCTAGTAAAGTGATACAGTTTGACATGGCTACGCACCACTGAAATGTCCTCTAGTTAATAGTCTCTGATCTGTTCATGCCACGGTTTATATTTTTCTCCTGCTTTTTCAATACTGTCACCATCTCATCCAGTTCCTTGATCTGTTGTGCAATGGAACTTGAATATTCCCATTTTTGTAGCAGACACTGACTATTCCTTTATCATGTTCCTCTATAGGCCTTCTAGAAGAACGTGCCCTGCTGTTAGGTCGAATGGGGAAGCATGAACAAGCCCTCATTATTTATGTCCACATACTGAAGGATACCAAAATGGCCGAATTGTAAGCCTCTCCTTAGTATCCATTTTTGCAAGTTGTGTGTGTGTGGTTTTTTCTTTGTTTTGTTTAAGAAATAGCTTTCCTTCTTCTATTGCTTGTTGTCTCTGTGAGTGAAGTGGGGTTGTTAAATGTTCCAGGTGCATGTAGGAACATGCTACTGTAACCCTTTTGATCTATCATACCCAATATACTGATTGGTTAGGATTCCCTCTGTGTGCTTTCTGATCACGGCTTACATTCCCGCATTTCTTGGGGTTTGGCCTTCCTGCGCTGTTCCATTTGTCAGTTCCCCAAGACTGGTTCCTATTTCTTTACTTGGGCTCCCTTCAGTATTAAATAGCAGTCACTGACAGGCTCTTTTTTTTTGTTTTCACTCATATAAACCTGGCCTGTTGTCAGTCTCTTAGCTTATATCTTATTATTACTTGTTGCTTTCTTTGTTTAGCTATGAATGGCCCTCTTTTAGGTGTAGACATGTTAACCTTTTCGTGTAGTATTCTTCCTCAAGTAGAAGGAATTATGTTAGCGAGAAGATACTTTTCCACTTGCAGTTGTTAGTTAAACAGGTTTGTGGTGATGGGGCCTAAGAACCAGTTGAGGGTGAGACTTCATTGTGCAGCACTTCACAAACATGAATAGTCCCCGCTCTGAAGAGTTTACGGTCTAAATACACAAAACAGGTAGTGGCTGGGGGATAGGGTACAACATAAGCAGAGGGGGGGGTGTGTGTGTGTGTGTGTGTGTGTGTGTGTGTGTGGCTGGCAGGAAAGGTTACATCTGAGGAGTGGACAAGCTGCATAGAAACAAAAAGGGAAGGTGGTGAGGGGAATATGGCAGAAGAGGAGAGTGTAATAGGGATAGGTATGGAGTAAAACTGAAGTTAAGACAGTGTATGGGAGAACTGTCGCAGGCACACAACCCTGACACAGAATAAGATCTGAGCTTGCCTCAGAAACACATGGGACCTTGTTCCTCTGAGACAGGCACAGAAGGTGGGGAGCAGACAGGATCCAAGTTGTAGGGACTCTGTGTGTGGGGATCCAGGTGTGAGGTAAAAGGATTCTGTGTGGGACAATCTGGGTGGAGGCAGCTCAGTGGGGCCGGTCTGAGTGTGGGGTGGGGATGTGGATGCGCAGGGTGCAGGTTCCAAGTGCAAGGCTAATGGGACTCTGCAGGGTCTTCTGGGTGAAGACGGTTGAGGCTCAGCAGAGGGGGCTGGGAGTGGGTGTCTCAGCAAGGGGGGGTCTGGATGCTTGGGGTTTGGTAGGTTTGGGGTCTGGATGCAGGGAATTAGGGCGGTGGGGACTCCTCAGGGTGGGAGTTTGCATTCAGGGAGTTCAGTGGGTGTGGTTTGGCTGATATGGGTTTCCAGAGGCTAAAGCTCAGTGGAGTGGGGTTGGACTATGGAGGGCTAGGAGGGTTCTGGATGCACCAACTGAGGTTTTGCAGGGGTGTCTGGATGCACAGAGGCTGGATGGATGAAGGAGCGGTTTCCGAAACAATGACTCCTCCACCCACCACTGAGCAGTGATGGGAGCAGACGGCAGGGGAGGATACTGTGCTTCCTGCAGCTGAGGGATGGTCTGACACAACCCCAGCCTTAGCCACTGCTTGTAGAGAAAGAGGAGTTCCTGCCTGCCCCTCCCTCCAGTCCAGCCAAGACTAGCAGCTGATTCCAGCTCAACATAGGAGTCTCTTGCTGGGATGTCCCCAGCTCCATGGTGATTTACCACACTGCTGGCTGCTCTTGTTGCCTGAAATGATGAACCTACACTGCTAGGAGATGGTGCCTGTTACTGCTCTTTCAGCTTCCCATTGCTTCCCTGTCAGTCATTTTTTCTGCAGAGAAGAAAAGAAATCTGTAGAGGGTTCATTAATTCTACATGTGCACAGTGGCATAGAATTCTCCCAGGAGTGGATTCTGAGCTGCTCCTACTAGGGGGCATCTATAGCTGGTTCCCCTTTGTATTTTTGAAAAGATTCAAAGCATTTGGGTGAAAATGCAACACACACACACACACTCACTCACTCTCTGTCTCTCTGTCTCTGTCATGCTCCAATGGGTTTCTTTGTTGCTAGACATGGAGGCTTTTTAAACCTAAGCTTTTGCATACCTCTTCAGGTAATTCCTGTTGGGAGGCATTCACCTTGCTTGTGCTGATCAGGCACTTTTCTTGTGTATTAAATTCTGTTACCATTCATTGACTTACCACCTCAGGATTTATCCATTTATTCTCTTGGCTGCTTTGCTGGTCAAACTAAGGCAAGTTTCTTAGGTAGTTTTTTTTGGTTTTGTTTTTTTTTTACATCTGAGAACTCAATTTGATATCTGTCCAAATTGCTAATAGTAAACTTTTCTGGATTTATCAAATTACAAGACAGACCCATGTTTCATTTCACTTCTGTTTTAGGTACTGCCATAAACACTATGACAGAAGCAAAGATGGCAACAAAGATGTGAGTACCTTTTTGTCCATATTCTTGCTTTTGATGTGAATGATGCATGCATTATAACTATTGTCTCCCTGTTTGGCCAGTTTAAAGAACACTTATGTTGTGCAGATTTGTTCAGAACTTCCAAAGAGGGCAGGGTCCTCTCTGCCATCTTCTATTAAGGAACTTGTAATACTTTTTTACACAACTTCTCTCCTGCTTAGAATGTTGTTGGATTGCAGGAAATGGCTGATCTTTATCATTGGCTAACAGTTCTGTTTTGCAAGTAGCAATAGGATCTGGCTGTGGCGATGCTGCTAATAGCAGTAAAAAGTAGTAAAACTTTCTATGGACTAAAGACATGGGAGTCTGAATACATGCAGCTGAGCTGTAGAGAAAGGAGGTGCAAATTTTAATATCTGTTTCTAAAACTTGTTCTATGCTGAAGGCTTAGAAATGAATTCATGTGTACACTTGTTGAGGAGATGATCCATTGAAGGATAACAGATTTTAAGTCCTTATCAAAAATGCATATTTGCTAGTGCCAGCGTGTATTGCCAGATAGCCCCATAGTAGATAGTTCAGTGGTGTCTGTCTGATATGCTTCAGTCTTGGTGTTTGTGTGAAACAGGTTTATCTGTCTCTGCTCCGGATGTATCTATCCCCACCTAGTGTTCATTGCCTTGGGCCAATCAAGATGGAACTGTTGGAGCCTGAAGCCAATCTCCAGGCTGCCCTGCAGGTTTTAGAATTGCACCACAGCAAATTAGATACTACCAAGGTAAGGATTCCTTCTTTTGTAGGTCATGGTATGGATGGGTGCTATGCCTTGAATGCCAATGAAACTCACAGGAGTTGAGGGTAGGCTCTGGGAGCAGATCCTAAAAATGTGAATAAAAATGAATGTTTGAATACCATTTCTACCCTACTCTTTGTCTTGTTCTTGTCCCTTCTAGGCTATAAACCTTCTCCCAGCAAATACTCAAATTAGTGAGATTCGAATCTTCCTGGAAAAAGTCCTCGAAGAAAATGCTCAGAAGAAGCGATTCAACCAAGTACTCAAAAATCTTCTCCATGCAGAATTCCTAAGGGTACGTGACATGCTTTCATCCTCCTTTGTCAGGATGGATTTTCAAAAGTTCTGTTCAATGGAATGCTGTAAAAATTTGAGCTCTTCCTTACCGGTACAAGGAACTTGTCCTGTAGATGGTGGTGTAGCATAGTCAGGAATGCTAAGTGCGTGCTAATCAGCAGTTCACAACTTGTGTATTTCTGAAGACAGAGTATTGAAATATGGGAGTTGAAGGGAGTTGAAATATGTTAGCCTTCTGTCTGAGGCTAGAAAGGTGGCTGAGGTGTAACATTGCACTGCTTACCAGAGGTGCTGATCCCATGAGGGCTCCACAGCGCCCATGGAAAAAAATTAGCAGGTGCTCAGCATCCGCTGGCAGTCAAATTCCACTCTCACTCGCTGGCAGCTCTGCTGACAACCCCTGCCCCACCCTCTCTGTGCCTCTCATCTGCTGCTTTACTCTGCATCTCCCACCTGCTGCGTAAAGCTTCTATGTGGCATGCAGGTGGGCTCTGAGAAGGAAGGGGGAGGGCTGGGCTTAGGGCAGAAGGCAGGGAAGAGGTGGGGTAAGGCAAGACCTAAAGCAGAGCAGGAGGGTCAAGCACCCCACAACTAGCATGGAAGTTGGTGCCTCTGTGGCTTATCACATTTTGTATCCTCTGTCAGGTTCAGGAGGAGAGGATTTTGCATCAGCAAGTGAAGTGTATCATCACAGAGGAAAAAGTGTGTACGGTGTGTAAAAAGAAGATAGGAAATAGGTGAGTAATACAGAGCATTGCTCCCAAAGAGGCTGGTGATACAGAAACAAACTAGTCTAGCTCACTCTTGCAGAGAAGTCAGGATGTGTAAATTCAGAAGCAAACCACTAAGGAGAAACTATCAGAAGTGTACAATGAATTGGAAACTAATCTTAGAGTGTCTGGGTGGGGGGAAAAGCCTCACCTCTTGATGCTTATGACAGAGATGAACTGCAAAAATACTCCCCATGGATTTTCACACCTCCAGCACAGATGAAATAAAGCAGTTTTGTGAAACTTTTCCAAGATTGAGGGAGCAAGTAGTTGATATGCTGGCATCACCTGAGATGTTGGAGTGCAGAGCTTAGACCTCTGTACAGAGTGGATGATAAGCACTACAAATGAAAAGTTGTTTTCCATCCTGCAGTCTGAAAGCTCTTTGTAAACATGGTACATTTGTCTCTGTGTGCAGTGGCCCTCTTTGGGGTTGCGCATGGATTCTTTATATAAATTGTTAGAGGTGATCTCTGAGCTTTGAAAATTTAAGTATGTGTTTCAGATTTACAAAACCTTCTTATTACAAAGTATCACGATGGCTGCTTTGTGCCTCCAGAATCAACCTGCAGTGACAGCAGCAGCAAAGGTTTTATTGGTGTCAGAGCTTCCAATGTTTTCTCCTCCTGCCATTTCTATCCCTGGAATTTTCAAGGAAGAAATCCTTGTCTGATGTGGCGCAGAGACTTAGATGTTTCCTTCCCTAATCCCATTCAGTACTTCAGCTCCAAACTAAATCTTAAATCACCTAACCATTAGCTGCTATTACTGGTGGTTGAAATAAACCCCTCTAAGGTATGAATAATAGTCAGCATCTGGAGGAGAGTAGCACTTTGATTGCATGCCTGCTTTAATGAACACAGCTCTCTGGGAACACTGAATTACTATATGCGTTGACCTAGTTTTTCTTAAGTATGATTTTGAAGTAGGAGGTAAAGGTAAAGCCGAGTCTGTACTGTGTGCCTCATTTTGGTTAAGTTGGATCATGCTAGACTTAAGTGATCATAGACTTTAAAAAGTGATCATGTTAAAATGGCTCTGTGTGGTGCCATATTAATATAACCATTCCAAATCAAACTTGCTCTCCTAAATATTGTTTCTGAGGCATGCTGCTGCAAAGTCCAGCTGAGTTCTTTGCTTGGGATCTCTATTAAAACATGCTATAATTGAAACAAAAGTGAAGCTTGTATAGTGAACAGAGAAAACTAGGGACTGATTATATTGACATTTGATCTTGTGCTATTCTGTATCCTCACAGTGCATTTGCCCGATATCCTAATGCAGTAGTTGTGCACTACTTCTGCTCCAAAGAAGTCAATACGGCAGACACCTGAAATAGGTGGCCATCAGTTACATGGACTGCACTAGCCCTAACATTCACATGAAATTCAGAAGTGAAGACTCGTTTAGGAAAAGTTCATGCTCTGGAATTTTGAGGCATGTTGCTGAGAACATATTACCAATAGCTTGTGCCCAGCAGATCTCTGGACTGACTATTTTCTACAACCTGGCACTACTGACTTGTTAGAAAATTGACATTTTTAACTATTAAACTGCTGGGAACTATTATACCTCTTAATGCGCCAAGATGAGGAGGAATGGACATTGACCAGCAATATGCTTGTATCGTGCTCCAAAACTGGCAGGCTAGTTTTCAAACACTTCTGTGATGTTTACTAGTGAGGGTATGTTTTAAAGTAAACACTTTCTATTAAGGTAAAAACTTCTTGATCTGACCTTGTTCCTGGCTTACTCAAGGGTTTTCTCTTTTGAGGAGTATTAGAAAGTCACTGCAACAGTATTTACACTGTATTGGAAACTACTTTTCAATCCACCAAGTAGTGGTGGAGGTTGGGAGGAGAAGAGGCTCTTTTACCTGGAAGTTGAACAACTGTATCTGACTTCACTTTTCTCCTGGTATTGGGAATAACTGGATGTTGAACAAAAGAACTTTTTAATCTTTTGAGGCCTAAAGTGCTTATCAACTCATCTTCTGATAGAAGTTTCACAGGAGTTAGTCACACACAAATGATTACCGTTGAAGCCTGTTATTTTTCCCTTTTTGACTTCAGCTTGTTGTTAGAGGTATGTAAATATGAATTAATTCGCGGTTTGCACTGTGTACAGTCACTCCCAGCATGAGTGGAAGCTTTTAAGTGGTGGCTTTCTGAGGAGAGGAATCTCTCACTTGCACTGGTACCATAAAGAGTACCCCCTAAAAGTAACACTTTTAAGAGGGACTGAAGTGTATCTCTTGCTTGAGCTTCTAGAGCACATTTAAGAGACCTGTGTATATAAATAGCTCTTCAGTCTTCAGTTCACTTTCCAGCATCAAAATGAAACGCAGGCTGCATTTTGATGTCTTTGAGGGTTTAGAACAACTCCCTTCTGCCCAGGCTGGTGGTGGTTTTTTTTTAAAAATTTTTTGCTTTGCCAAGAGGATTCTAAACACACAACGGATACAGTGTTTTTCTTTATAGTCCTGTAATATTTTTGTCTAATTTTCCCATAAACTTTAATCTGTAGCAAAGTTGAGAGAGTACTTGCATGTTCACTTATTATACAAAGCATCGGAGCAGTGGTGAGCAAAGGCAGCAGTAGCACATGGTTCAGCGTAACTTAATGTGGGTAATATCCCAGTTTAGCCATACTTCTGTAATTAAATATTAAATGACATGGAGCATGGCTCACATTTTCCTTTAAAATCTATCATACTCCTCAGGTAAGGAGTTGAGGAAAATAAATTTCAGAACCAAAAACCCATCTGCCCACAATGTAATTGCATTTAATTGACTTTGCATGTTTATGTTAAGTCTTTTATTTTAACAGTTCTAGCAACAGGTCATTTGTAGGATATAATTGACCCTACTTTACTTTTGCTACCTGTGTCAAACGCTGCAAGTACCATACCCAGGGTTATATAGCCTATTCCTTTTCCATCTATGTTTTGCTTTCAAGATCATGGCTGCCACTAGCCTTAAATGTCTTGGATAGTACTGCTGGTGGTGCCTTTCTGTTGCGGTTAGGGGAGTTTCTGCACTGAGAGGGAGTTACTTTTTCAATCTTCTGTTTGAACAGGAGAACCTAAAACATGCTTGTATCAATTTGCACATATTCTGTATAGTGTTTATATACGAGTTCAGGTACAAGAGATTTTGGGAGTTGTGTTTACAGATCATTGACAGTGAGAAGGGTATCTACAGTTTATGCATATAGATGTCAAGATTTTTCTGATATTGGTACGGAGGGCAGGTAATTCAGACTGTCTGCTGCCAGTAAATCTGCATGCTCTTACAGTTGGGGGGGGTCTGTAGTATATTCTTCTTTCACAGTGATGCTTATGTGCCTCTGTTCGGCTTTTTTGCATACCTTTGCAGAGATGTAGTTTGTGCTGCAATTCTGCGATCTTTCTCATACCATGTTTTGAATTTGCTAGCCATAAGACATTTTTGTTTAAAGCAATATATTGTAATAAATATTGTGAACTATTCTGTTTTTCATTTATTGTGTGGATGTTAACAACTGATTTGGGGGTTCTCTTGATTCACGGAGTATATTTTCTTTGGCTCGTAGTCATCGGTATAGATTTATATTTCAAATTCAGCTAGTTTTGTGTATATTTAGATAGAAACAACCTATGAACAGTTATTTATTTACACACTTCTGTAAAATTAAATGATATAATCATGATGACTACAATGCGAACGATTTGGCCATTAATGTGTTAAAACAGGCTGCAGGCCTTCTGAAATGTTCTGATGGGCCATGGACAGTCTATGTTGGGCACCCCTGTTACAAGACCTTTGCTTTGTGCCAAAAGCAGACACACAATAGCTCTTTATAAAGCCTCATTGCAACTATTCCCTGTAATTGGAGAAGCATTTCAATAGGGTTGCCATGGACATTATTCCATTCCCCAAGTCACCCAAAAATGGGGAAAATATACATTGGGGGTAGTAACTGCTACCAGATACCTAAGGCAGCAGCTTGGCTAATATAGAAACAGAAATGGTGGCAACAGTGCTCTTTTCCATATTTACTAGGGTGGACTTTCCATGAGATTGTGGGTCAAATTTCATGTCTCTCACACATTCTCAATTGTGGAAAAGGTGGTGGTGTGTAAATATATCCAGAAACAAATGCATTAGTTGAACCACGCTTAGTCCATGCTAATCTATGTAAACAGGAAGGCAAGGAACTGGGATCTGCTACTGCTTTACCTATTGTTTGCTTACAAAGAGGTACCCTAAGGAATGATAGGATTTGACATTTTCGATAGAAGGAAGGTGAGTGGCCCTCTAGATCTGGTCAAATTCATGGGAAGGGAAGCTAGTGCCTGAATATATATCCAAGTTCAGGGCAGAGCTATGGAAAACATTACTTTGAAGATTGTCAAGCTGTACAAAAAGCATACAGAAAGAACATTTGATGTAGATCATGGGGTTCTGTTATGAACCTGCCTGTTTAAAAAAAAAAAAAAAAAAAAAACCCATAAAAGGCAGAACTCATGGAAGTGTGCCTTTTGAGGTGATGGACTCAAAAGGGTTTCTGTACTTGGTAAAGTGACTCCATGGTCATGACTTACCTCAAATGGTACATATTAAGAGACTAAAAGTGGGCCTGATGTAAAAATGATATGCTGTGCAGGGCAGGACTACAAAATGTGGCCTCTGTTAGATTGAGTATCTGAGAATAAAGGGCCCATCCCTTTCAAGAACATTAATTTAAGTGAAGAGTTAACCCACCAGAAAAACGATCAAGACTGTTATAAAGCCGTTTTCTAATAAATGTTGTCAAACTCAGGCACCACATCTTCCTTAGGACAACTCTACTTCCTCATGTGATACCTCCCATTACCATCCCTCACCCAGAGTAATCACATGGCCAATCCCCTGCTTGTGTTCCTCCCAGTAGTTGCTGTTAGCCAGCCTAGTCACACCTTGGCTTTCGCCACCCAGTTAGCTTTTGAAGAACGACCCCAATAGCATCCCAGAACTGCCTGCCTCTGTGGTGTCCAACCCTCTCCTGGAGCACTCTCAGAAGTGCAGTTTGTTGCTCCTTTTAAAGCATCAGTACACTGCAACTTATTAATTTAACAGGTGTTTGACAGACACTCTTGTTTTAATAACATCATGAAACTGTATTTATAGTAAAAGTAAAACAAGTTTACTAAACAAAAAGCTTTTAAGCTCAAGTGATACTCGTAAAGAATAAAGATAGAAACTTCAAAGACTTAAACTTAATTTTAGTAAATTGCAATCTGCCTGAGCAGGTTTCTGACCTAAGCTTAGTTCCCAGAGAAGTCTGTCCCCTTGATTGAAGGACCCAATATTCTGTGATTTCAAGAGCCCTGATCCCATGACTCCCTCAAATGACAGACCATTCATGTTCTTTTGCCTCCCCTTATGTCACCCCAAAGTTCATTGTCTCTGTTTTAAAAGCTGGAAGGCTTTCTTCCCTTCCCATAGACTTTCCATCCCTTGCTGATACATATCAATGGAGTTTTCATTCCACACCACTTAATTTACCTCAGAGATGGGGAAATAGCAAAAGTCACTCTTGTCCAGGAAGAGACCCTGTTTCTCCCTATATTGGACACATTTTAAAGCATAATATCAGTGAGTACCCATAATTCCTCACAATGTTAATACTTGTATTTTACAACTATATTAATCAAAGTTCACACCCACTGTCTTTAGATCAGTAAACCTTTGAAATGTATTCTCAAATGGTTCCTTTTTCTCCTGCTTGGAAGGGATGCCACGCTGTCTGGTGACCGCTTCATTTGGGAGCTTCCCCTTGTTAGCATGATGTATTTATTTACCTTTTCATATAAATTCATTTCCAATGTCTGACTTACGTTAAGCAAGTGTAACCACATTCTTTTGCCTAGCATAGGGTACCTTTCATCCTGCCTGCCCCACATTTTAAAGAACATAATTTCAGTGTGTTTGTAAGTTTGCACATGTGACCTGTACAAACACCATGCAATGATATTAATGATCAGGGAGTTAGTTTTCTGGTGATTTATATTACATGCCACCAGTTGGGTATATGTCATGACAGTAGCAGTGAGTGTGGCAGGCCTGATGAGTTGCTGACACAGGGTAATGATTCATGCCAATGGGCCTCTGTGACACAGTGCTAGTCTTTGGATTAATTAATACAGGTACTGCATTCCAGAGGCTGGTTACATGGGTTCCAGAGATTTGTTCTCAGGTACATAGATGATATTGCTATATTTAGTGACCCCCCTGGAAGAAACAAAGCACATGTAAGGAAGATTTGTAAACCATGAGGGGGAGAAGGGGAGGCCTTGTGCTGATGATCCCCAGAGTCTGTCAATTGACAGCCTCATAGGACTCCTATTCTGGGACTAAAACTAGCCATTGTAGTTGTTGCTATTTGGGCTAGAGGCCATGCTCTGACATTCATGCTTCTCAATGAGTTTCAGAGCCTTGGCCCCAGCCTAAGTCTGCATTATTTTTAGCCCCAAAGTGCACTGAGATTTGCTGCTGCTTGCATGCTTTGTTTGCAGAGTAGACATGCTCAATCAACGTGTTAGTGAAGGTGTGGGCAACAAAGATCCATAGGCGTTACCTGAGGCTTCTGGTTTGCTTTTGTGCATTTCAAACTGTGATGGTCCTTGCTGTGCACTCCAGTATCTGCTGTGAGAAATCCTGGATCCCAGACTTCTCTCCTAAGCCGTGTTCAGTGTGCTTAGGACACCATGTCTCTCAGCAGAGCTACTTATGGACTTATTTTCAGAGCAAAAAGACTCTGATGTGGACAACAATGTGAATGATGTGGACAGCAGCAACTTCAGAAGTATCCACAGGGTCCTTGGCTATGGATTTGGATTCCCTTCCACAGGGTCCTTGGCTATGGATTTGGGTTCCCTACCCAGGATAGCATCCAGTTCTTTATAAAAATGGCACGTCTTGTGTGTCGCCTTCCCCTTCTGGTACGACTGCCAGAGTTCCTTTAACTTAGCTCTGCATTGTAGGGTGTCTCTGTCATAACCCTTCTCACACAGGGCTCAAGAAACCTGTCTGTACGTGTCCCAGTTCCTACGGGTTACTCACAGTTGTGATTGCGCCAGTGCTTCATATCCCCTCTCCCCCAATGCTGATGAGATCCAAAAGCTCTGGGATGCTCCAAGCAGGAAGAGGTCTTAAGCGATAGCGGCTCCTGTTTGCCTGAGAAGATGCCAGGAGGAGCACTTCATGCTGAGCCAGCCAGCAGGAAATGGATTTGAGTTCCGGGGGTTAGTAGGGTAGAGGGGCACATGTCTGTTTACGTGGCTGCAGAGCAGAAGAGTTCCAAGTGCTGGCGAGAATGGCTAATCAGGTATTGTGGAAAACATCCTAGAGTGGAATAAACTCAAACAAAAAGCCACGTGTATGATACACTGCTTGATTGCCACAGGAAAGAGGGAGAGAGACACAAAAGTGCCCTGTGGAGGTGAAAGTTTTTTGTTGACAAAACTGGGCACTTTTTTGCAACTTTTGTCAGGTTGCAGTGTGAATGCTTTTCTGGGTTTTGTTGCCTTAAAGGGGGTATCGGTGACAAAACTTGCAGGTGTAGACCAGCTTTAAGAGAGTAGTTCTTAATTAGGGTGCATGTACACCTGAGAGTAGGTAGATGTCTTCCAGCAGATAGATTAATTAATCTAGATATCAGCCTAGTTTTACAAGGGCTGCATAAAAAGCACTAGCAAAGTCTCTACAACCTAAAATTGCATACAGTATCTTGTTTAAACCGCTCTCTATACAGTGAACTGTAAGTCAAACATGTATATTCCAATTGATTTTATAATATAAAAATGAGTAGTCCTGTGGCACGTTGGAGACCAACAAAAATAAACAACCAACTATAATTAGTATCGTGATCTTTTGTGGGCAAAACCACTTTTCAGAGAAGCTTGAGCTCAAACTCCTTTGAAGGAAGTGGGTTTTGCCCACGAAAGCTCATGATACTATATATATTTGTGTTGGTCTCTAAGGGTGTGTCTAGACTACCGAGTTTTGTCAACAAAAGTGGACTCTTGTCGACAAAACTATACCAGCATCTACACTACCACTGAGTTCTGTCAACATAACGTCGACAGAACTCAGCAGTTTTGTCGACGCTGGTATACCTCATTTTACGAGGCATAACGTCTTTGTCGACAGAGTTCTGTCGACAAAAAGGGTAGTCTGGACGCAGGGGTTCCTTTTGTCGACAGAAGGAGACGCCCCCTGCTGGAGAGTCCTGGAGAGTCCTTCTTTAGGAAAAACCTCTTCTTGGTCCTGTCTGTAGCCATGTTTTAAAGGCACAGACATCCCTGGCAGGCATTGTGGCAGGAAGCTGGCCACAGAGAGATTGTCAGCCCAGAGCTCTCCCAGCGTAACCTGCACGTGGCCATGTGTGCAGCTCCAGCGCCACGAGGCCCCCAAGGACCTTCGAGGGAGCCATCTCGGGTGCCCTCTGCTGGAAAAAGAGAGCCC